TGCAGCTTGTGATTGTGTCTAATGATCAGGTTGCTTTGGATGGTGGGAATGACAATGTTGTTCATGTTCAAGTTGATTCTTCTGATGGGAATGTGGACGCTGTTCATGGAGATATTTCTGGTCTGATTCCTGGGCCTAGTTTTAGAGATGTGGGGCCTGAATGCAGTTCAGTGGGTGGCTTAGAGAGGCCTGTATTGTGGCAAAGGGATTCTCAAGGCCTTGAGCTGGGGAAAGGCTCTGCGCCGTAGTCCCCCAGTCTGCTATTTAACCTCAGCAGACTGAAAGCCAAAACCAAGGTTACAACAACATCTGTTATAGAACTCCAGTATGCTGATGACAATGTCGTCTGTGCGCATTCAGAAGAAGACCTACAAGCCACTCTAAACACCTTCGCAGAAGCATACACGAAGCTTGGCCTGTCACTGAACATTGAGAAAACCAAAGTGCTGTTCCAGCAGTCACCAGCCATCCCCTCCCCAATGCCAGAGATACAACTTAATGGTGTAACATTAGAAAATGTTGACCATTTCCGCTACCTTGGCAGCCACCTCTCCACCAAAGTCAACATCGACACCGAAATACAACACCGCCTGAGCTCTGCGAGTGCAGCATTTTCCCGAATGAAGCAGAGAGTGTTTGAGGACCGGGACATCCGTAGGGATACCAAGGTGCTTGTCTATAAAGCTATTGTCCTCCCAACCCTGCTATATGCCTGCGAAACGTGGACTGTCTACAGACGTCACATGCAACTCCTGGAACGATTCCATCAGTGCTGCCTCCGGAAAATCCTGCAAACCTCCTGGGAAGACAAGCGGACAAACGTCAGTGTGCTGGAAGAAGCAAAGACCACCAGCACTGAAGCGATGGTCCTCCAACATCAACTCCGCTGGGCCGGCCACGTTGTCCGGATGCCTGACCACCGTCTCCCAAAGCAGTTGCTCTACTCTGAACTTAAGAACGGAAAACGGAACGATGGTGGACAGGAAAAGAGATTGAAAGATGGGCTCAAAGCCAACCTTAAAAACTCTGGCATAGACACTGAGAACTGGGAAGCCCTGGCCCTTGAGCGCTCCAGCTGGAGGTCAGCTGTGACCAGCAGTGCTGCAGAATTTGAAGAGGCACGAATGGAGGAGTGAAAGAGAGAAACGTGCCAAGAGGAAGGCGCGTCAAGCCAACCCCGACTGAGACCGCCTTCCACCTGGAAACCGATGCCCTCACTGTGGGAGAAGATGCAGATCAAGAATAGGGCTCGATGTCTTAGAGAGGCCTGCATTGCTGCAAAAGGATTCTCAAGGTCTTGAGCCTGGGAAAGGCTCTGCGCCTGGTCAGTAATCTCCAGGTGCAGATTTTAATGAAGCCTTGAACAGAAAAAGTGCTTTTAGCCAGCAAAGACAAACAAATAAGAAATTAAGGTGCTCAGACAGATTAGAGCAAAAGCTAGAAGTGAAACCAAAGTTAAAGAAAAATCCGTTCTTAGCTGTTTGGGATATAAGTGCCAAGACCTGAATTTAGCTTCAGACAAAGCATATTATTTGAGAACACAGAAATGCTGGACCACACCAACAACCACCATGTCAGACTACACAGAGAAGCCATTGAAATCCACAAGAAGCATGTGGACAATTTCAACAGAAAGGAAGAGACCATGAAAATGAACAAAATCTGGCTACCAGTATTAAAAAACTCTAAAATTACAACAGCAAAACAACAGAGAGGAAACAACCAGGCACAGATTAACACCTCCTAGCAAGAGATTTTCCCAGGCTCAGGCAGGCCTTCAAATGCTAATGAAGGTGATCAGCTGAAACATTCACACCTAACTGCAGCAGGGAAGAGCTCCTTGCCCCACCCCAGCCATTCCACAGATATATAAACCCATTGTCCTATTCCAACAGACCTCACTACCTCTGAGGATGCTTGCCATAGATGCAGGCGAAATGTCAGGAGAGAATGCCTCTAGAACATGGCCCTATAGCCCGAAAAAAACCCACAAGAACCTAGTGATTCCAGCCATGAAAGCCTTCGACAATACGTTGGATTCACGATAAGTTCTTCATGTCAAGTTCCTAGACCTTTGTCTTTGTTTGATTCCTGTTTTAAGCGTCTTTGCTGTTATTTTGTCTTTGAAATCAAGACTCGAGTTTCATAGACTTCTTTGGACGATTTCTCTTTGGATTAATTGCTCTTTTTCCTTCCTAGTCAGTTGGATTTACCTTTTACTGTGGATTACTTTTTATTGCTTTGGCTTTTATTACCTTCAATAAACTGCTTGCTATTTTAATTCAACTGTGTGGTGTTTAAAGTCAGAGAAGATCCTGCTCTGGAATGCAACAGGCTCTCGTTTCCCTCTCTCCAGCTGCCTTCACCCTCTGGCATGCACATGTGCTACTACTACGTTGGGGTGTGCACCATGCGTCAAGTCATGGAGGAAACAAACTCATTGCTACGCCATTAAGTCTCAGGTTGCTAACAGGTAGGAATAAAAAGCCATTTTATGTAGCTCTCAAATGTAAAAAGGCCTCCTTTGTTCCCGTCTCGATTGGCAGGCAAGGTCTGGCTGCTTTGCGACAGGAGTGCGAACTTGTCTGTTTGCATTGAAAGACTGCTTTGTACAAAAAGTGCCAATGAAAAGAGCGACGGGAGAGAAAGCGCGGCAAACTGGCAGAAGCAGAACAGGTAGGAAAAATATCCCACTGTATGCTCTGGAGTACGACGAATCAAGAAACAAGGAGAATATACAGTGTCCCCTCACTTATCGCTGGCGTTAGGGTTAGGGCTAGGGAGGCTCTCCCCTCCCTTCTGGGAATTGCAGAAATAGCCCTCACCTACAAACAAAAAGCATTCTGAACCCCACCAATGATAGAACTGGGCCAAATGTCAAGGTCTATTTTCCCCAAACTCCACCAGTGTTCACATTTGGGCATACTGAGGATACGTGCCAAGTTTGGTCCAGATCCATCATTCTTTGAGTCCAAAGTGCTCTCTGGGTGTAGGTGAACCACAACTTCAAAACTCAAGGTCAATGCCCACCAAAACCTTCCAGTATTTTTTGTAGATCGTGGGAGTTCTGTGTGTGAAGTTGGGTTCAATTCCATCGTTGGTGGAGTTCAGAAGGCTCTTGGATTGTAGGTGAACTATAAATCCCAGCAACTACAACTCCCAAATGTCAAGGTCTATTTCCCCAAAACTCCACCAGTGTTCACATTTGGGCATATTGAATATTCATGCCAGTTTGGTCCAGATCCATCATTGTTTGAGTCCACGGTGCTCTCTGGATGTAGGTGAACTACAACTCCAAAACCGAAGGTCAATGCCCACCAAACCCTTCCAGTATTTGTTGTTGGTCATGGGAGTTGTGTGTGTCAAGTTTGGTTCAGTTCGATTGTTGGTGGGGTTCAGGATGCTCTTTGATTGTGGGTGAACTATAAATCCCAGCAACTACAACTCCCAAATGTCAAGGTCTATTTCCCCCAAACTACAACAGTGTTCACATTTGGGCATATTGAATATCCATGCCAAGTTTGGTCCAGATCCATCATTGTTTGAGTCCACGGTGCTCTCTGGATGTAGGTGAACTACAACTCCAAAACCGAAGGTCAATGCCCACCAAACCCTTCCAGTATTTGTTGTTGGTCATGGGAGTTGTGTGTGTCAAGTTTGGTTCAGTTCGATTGTTGGTGGGGTTCAGAATGCTCTTTGATTGTGGGTGAACTATAAATCCCAGCAACTACAACTCCCAAATGACAAATTCAATCAGTATTTGGGCGTATCGGGTATTTGTGCCAAATGTGGTCCAGTGAATGGAAATCCATCCTGCATATCAGATATTTACATTGCGATTCAGAACAGGAGCAAAATGACAGTTGTGAAGTAGCAATGAAAATAATGTTATGGTTGGGGGTCACCACGACATGAGGAACTGGATTAAGGGGTCACGGCATTAGGAAAGTTGAGAACCACTGGTTTAACCAATTGCGCGAATCGGGTCTTAATTTCAAGGAAACTGGTGGGATCTTCCATCATTGATCCCCTGCTATCAGGCGCCCCCTGTTGGTTCCAAAGATGGATCTACACTGCAGAATCAATACCGTGTGGCACGTTCATTGGAATCGTCTTCTCTGCAGGTTTTTAAGCAAATGGGCTTGACCTGGCATTCCTGCATGACAATGTGTAAGGAAGGCCTCAGTGTGTGAGAAGGTGTGCATGGACAGGAAACATCTGGACTCCAAAGGGGTTTAGTGTGAGGAAGGCCTCAGTGTGAGGAAGGCCTCAGTGTGTGAGAAGGTGTGCATGGACGGGAAACATTTGGACCCCAAAGGGTTTCAGTGTGAGGAAGGCCTCAGTGTGAACTAGGCCTCAGTGTGTGAGAAGGTGTGCATGGACAGGAAACATCTGAGCTCCAAAGGGGTTTAGTGTGAGGAAGGCCTCGGTGTGAGGAAGGCCTCAGTGTGTGAGAAGGTGTGCGTGGGCAGGAAACATCTGGACTCCAAAGGGGTTTAGTGTGAGGAAGGCCTCAGTGTAAGGAAGGCCTCAGTGTGTGAGAAGGTGTGAATGGACAGGAAACATCTGAGCTCCAAAGGGGTTTAGTGTGAGGAAGGCTTTGGTGTGAGGAAGGCCTCAGTGTGTGAGGTGTGCGTGGGCAGGAAACATCTGGACTCCAAAGGGGTTTAGTGTGAGGAAGGCCTCAGTGTGTGAGAAGGTATGCATGGACAGGAAACATCTGGGCTCCAAAGGGGTTTAGTGTGAGGAAGGCCTCGGTGTGAGGAAGGTCTCAGTGTGTGAGAAGGTGTGCATGGACAGGAAATATTTGGACCCCAAAGGGGTTCGGTGTGAGGAAGGCCTCAGTGTGAGGTAGGCCTCAGTGTGTGGGAAGCGGGTTAGACCGAATGGCCATTGGGGTCTCTTCCAAATTCAAGGTTCTCTGTTTCTGTGTAATATGGAATCAGAATGGTGAGAAGGTTGTCAATCAACCAATCAGAACAGGCTGAAGGTTGTCAATATTTAGCTTAAATATTCTTTAATGAGCAACTACGGAGATCCGTCCAAGACCACGTCAATCAGACTTCACATTTTTGAGGTATATCTTGGGGGTGACCCATCCCGCTGGTGGCTCCTTCAACCCGGCTCTCTTCCAGATCCGTTCCAGGTCGCGTTCAAACCTCTTCTGCAAAAGGAGAAAGGAAACAACCAGCAAGACCTGTTTTAGAAGGGACTGGGATGTGTGCGATTACACAGAGACCACAAAGGAGAAAGGCAGATTTCTAGAGGTTAGAGTAAAATAAGTGTAATAATAATAATAATAATAATAATAATAATAATAATAATAATAATAATAATAATAATAATAGAGTAAAATAATAAATGCAATAACAATAATAAATAAAGTAAAATGATAAATGTAACAATAATAGAGTAAAATAATAAATGTAATAATAATAGAGAAAAATAGTAAATAATAGAGTAAAATAATATAAATGTAATAATAATAAAGAGAGTAAAATAATAAATGTAATAATAATAATAGAGTAAAATAGTAAATTATAAAAATAATAATAGAGTAAAATAATATAAATGCAATAATAATAATGGAGTAAAATAATAAATGTAATAATAATAAAGTAAAATAGTAAATAATAACAATAAAAATAATAAAAACAATAATAGCATAAAATACTATAAATGTAATAATAAGAGTAAATAAATAAATAATAAATAATATAAATAATAATAATAATATATTATTATTATATAAATAAATAATATAAATATAATAATAAGAGTAAATAAAGAATAAATGTAATAATAATAATGGAGGAAAATAATAAATGTAATAATAAATAAATAAAGTAAAATAATAAATAAGAAGAAGAAAAACAATAAAAACAATAAAATAATAAAATAATATAAATGTAATAACAATAATAAATAGAAAAAATAATAAATATAATAATAAAGTAATAAATGTAATAATAGGATAAAATAATAAATGTTATAGTAACAATAATAAATAGAGTAAAGTAATGTAAATATAATAAGAGTAAGAGTAAAATAATAAATGTAATAATAATTATAAATAGAACAAAATAATAAGTGTAATAATAAGAAATAGAGGAAAACATTAAATTTAATAATAGAAATAATATAGGGAAATAATAATTGTAATAATAAAATAATAGAGTAAAATAATAAATGTAATAATAAAAAATAGAGTAAAATAATGTAAATGTATTAATAACAGTAACAGAGAAAAATAATAAATGTAATAAGAATAGAGTAAAATAATAAATGTAATAATAGAGTAAAACAATAAATGTAACAGTAAGAATAATAAATAGAATAAAATAATGTAAATGTAATAATAAGAATAGAGTAAATAATAAATCTCATAATAATAGAGTAAAATAATAAACAGAGTAATAATAAATAGAGTAAAATAATGTAAATGTAACAATAACAGGAACAGAGTACAATAAATATAATAATAATAATAATAATAATAATAATAATAACAGAGTAAAATAATAAATAACTTGTTCTGCCTAAAAAGGTCTGAAAAATTCAGCTTAGACTCGAGTATACACGGTAAGTCAATCTGCATCGGTCAAATACCTTGTTCCCGACTCACCTGTTTCCTCTTCCGCCTGCCTTCCTTGATCTTCTTCCGCAAAAACTTGGTCCGCTTCATCAGCTTCCTGTACTTGTGCCGATTCATTTTCCTCCTCCGGATCTTCAGGATCCTCTTGCACTCCATGTTGCTCCGGTTCGGCCCACTTTCCCCCGTATCTTCGTCCTCCTCGCTACCCTGGGAACAAGGCGGGAGGTCGTACTGCTGAGCGGGCTCGTAACGGAGCCTCTCGTGAACGTTGACGAAGGCCCCATCTTTTGGGAGGACATACTGGACAGTCAGCCAGCTTTCCAGTGGAGAGACGGACATCTTTCGAGGCACCAGCATTTCTTCCAGTTCGGGGTCCAGCGCATACCACTGCTGGAGGTGGGCGCCATTTTTACTGGAGGGTTGCGTGCTGTAATGTGCGGAAATAGCTGGCCGGAGAGCCAGAAGGGAAGCAGCCGATCTCGACACAAAACGTCCTGTGAGGGAGGGAGATTAAATTTGGAGACATTCACCAATACGCAGCAGGAAAAGACAATAACTTTGTCGAGGTTCTTTCTTTACAATAGTTTACAACCCGAAAGACAGTTGCGGAATTTAGCAAATTTACGATGCCATAAAAATCTCCAGCGGTGTGCAAAAGAATGAGGAAGTACTCCATCAAGGGTTCGGCGACAGTTCCCCCGGTGGCCAGAGCCAATTTAACAAATTTACGACACCATAAAAATCTCCAGCGGCGTGCAAAAGAATGAGGAAGTACTCCATCAAGGGTTCGGCAACAGCTCCCCCGGTGGCCAGAATTCGAGCATGCCCCTCTGAAGCTGGAATGTTAAAACTGCCTCTGTGTTTCTCTATATATGTTGTGTGTCTATGGCATTGAATGTTTGCCATGTATATGTGCATTGGGATGGAAGGGCGGAATGTAAATACTGTAAATAAATCAATCTATATAAATAAAAATGTAATGTTCGTTTATGATACAATCAGAACTCAAAAACCACTGGGGGAATTGACACCAAATTTGGACACAAGACACCATTCAAGGCAATCTATGTCCTGCACTCAAAAAAAAATATGATTCTGTCATTCGGGAGTCGTACTTGCTGGGATTTATAGTTCACCTACAATCAAAGAGCATTCTGAACGCCACCAACGATGGACTTGAACCAAACTTGGCACACAGTTCTCCCATGACCAACAGAAAATACTGGAAGGGTTTGGTAGGCAGTGTCCTTTGATTTTGGAGTTGTAGTTCACCCACATCTAGAGATCACTGGATTCAAACAATGATGGATCTGGACCAAATTCTACACGAATACTCAATATGCCCAAATGTGAACACTGGTGGAGTTTGGGGGAAATAGAATCGTGAAATGTGGGAGTTGTAGTTGCTGGGATTTATAGTTCACCTACAATCACAGAGCATTCTGAACCCCACCAGTGATAGAATTGGCCTAAACCTCCCACACAGAACCCCCATGTTGGCCACAGCAACGCGTGGCAGGGGACAGCTAGTGAATAAAATAAAGGCAGCCCCACGTAGGGTGCATTGCAGTAGTCCATTCTGGATGCAACTAAGGCGTAGACCACTGTGGCCTGATTTGTATGCAAGGAAGTCCCATAGGAAAAGCCTGGCGTCTCAAATTAAAAGATGTCTAAAGAGCGCAAAGAATGCCCGAGTCCACTAAGTGAGGGTTCCGTGTTCTCACCTGTACATCGTGCGGCCCGTGCAATCGGAAGCATCAGCTGTGAGACTAGCATGTTGGATCATTCTGTCAGAAATGGGAAGAGGCATAACAACATAGCAGTGCAGGAAGGATACGAACCCTCTCCCCACTCCCCTATTACATTGAGAGTCACGCTCTATGGGGGCCCATAGTCTCCCCAACCCCAAAGGGCGCCATCCCTTAGCATTAATGCTAAGGCCTGGGCCAACTTGGCCCCTCCAAGTGTTTTGGACTCCCACCATTCCTAACAGCCTCTAACTGTTAAGTAGCCATTAATACTAAGGCATGGGCCAACTTGGGCCCTCCACTTTGAACTCCAACTCCCTCTAATAGCCTCTAACTGTTGAGTAGCCATTAAGGCAGGCAAAGGCCAACTTGGGCCCACCACTCTGGACTCCCAACTCCAGAAATTCCTCTACTTTGGACTCCAACTCCCACCATTCCTAACAGTCTTTAACTGTTGAGTAGCCATTAATGCTAAGGCACGGGCAAACTTGGGCCCTCCAGGTGTTTTGGACTCCAACTCCCAAAATTCCTAACAGCCTCTAACTCTAGCCATTAATGCAGGCAAAGGCCAACTTGGGCCCTCCACTGTGGATTCCGACTCCAAAAATTCCTCCACTTTGGACCCCAGCTCCCACAATTCCTCCACTTTGGACCCCAACTCCCACCATTCCTCCACTCTGGGCTCCAACTCCCACAATAACTAGCAGCCTCTAACTGTTGAGTAGCTATTAATGCAGACATGGGCCAACTTGGGCCCTCCAGTATGAGAATGCCTCACTGTTTGTAGGCCTCAGCGGGAGGTAGGCCTCAGTGTGTGAGAAGGTGTGCATGGAAAGGAAACATCTAGACCCCAAAGGGGTTCAGTATGAGGAAGGCCTCAGTGTATGAGAAGGTGTGCATGGACAGGAAACATTTGGACCCCAAAGGGATTCAGTGTGACGAAGGCCTCAGTGTGTGAGAAGGTGTGCATGGACGAAGAAACATTAGGACCCCCAGAGGGGTTCAGTGTGAGGAAGGCCTCAGTGTGTGAGAAGGTGTGCATGGGCAGGAAACATTTGGACCCCAAAGGGGTTCAGTGTGAGGAAGATCTCAGTGTGTGAGAAGGTGTGCATGGACAGGAAACATTTGTACCCCATACGGGTTCAGTGTGAGGAAGGCCTCAGTGTGTGAGAAGGTGTGCGTGGACTGGAAACATTAGGACCCCAAAGGGGTTCAGTGTGAGGATGGCCTCAGTCTGTGAGAAGGTGTGCATGGCCGGGAAACATTTGGACCCCAAAGGGGTTCAGTGTGAGGAAGGCCTCAGTGTGAGGAAGGCCGCAGTGTGTGAGAAGGGGTGTGTGGACAGGAAACATCTGGACACCAAAGGGGTTTAGTGTGAGGAAGGCCTCAGTGTGAGGAAGGCCTCACTGTGTGAGAAGGTGTGTGTGGACAGGAAACATCTGGACTCCAAAGGGGTTTAGTGTGAGGAAGGCCTCGGTGTGAGGAAGGCCTCAGTGTGTGAGAAGGTGTGTGTGGACAGGAAACATTAGGACCCCAAAGGGGTTCAGTGAGAGGAAGGCCTCAGTGTGTCAGAAGGTGTGTGTGGACAGGAAACATTAGGACCCCTAAAGGGGTTCAGTGTGAGGAAGGCCTCAGTGTGTGAGATGTGCATGGACAAGAAAAATTAGGCAGTGTGAGGAAGGCCTCAGTGTGTGGGAATGTGTATGTGGACAGGAAACAGTAGGACCCCCAAAGGGGTTCAGTGTGAGGAAGGCCTCAGTGTGTGAGAAGATGTGCGTGGACAAGAAAAATTAGGCAGTGTGAGGAAGGCCTCGGTGTGTGAGAATGTGTATGTGGACAGGAAACAGTAGGACCCCCAAAGGGGTTCAGTGTGAGGAAGGCCTCAGTGTGTGAGAAGATGTCCATGGACAAGAAAAATTAGGCAGTGTGAGGAAGGCCTCAGTGTGTGAGAATGTGTATGTGGACAGGAAACATTAGGACCCCCAAAGGGGTTCAGTGTGAGGAAGGCCTCAGTGTGTGAGAAGATGTGCGTGGACAAGAAAAATTAGGCAGTGTGAGGAAGGCCTCAGTGTGTGAGAAATGTGTATGTGGACAGGAAACAGTAGGACCCCCAAAGGGGTTCAGTGTGAGGAAGGCCTCAGTGTGTGAGAAGATGTGCATGGACAAGAAAAATTAGGCAGTGTGAGGAAGGCCTCAGTGTGTGAGAAGGTGTGTGTGGTCAGGAAACATTTGGACCCCAAAGGGGTTCAGTGTGAGGAAGGCCTCAGTGTGAGAACACCTCACTGTTAGTAGGCCTCAGTGTGTGAGAAGGTGTATGTGGACAGGAAACATCTGGACCCCAAACGGGTTCAGTGTGAGGAAGGCCTCAGTGTGAGAACACCTCACTGTTAGCAGGCCTAAGTGTGTGAGAAGGTGTGTGTGGACAGGAAACATTAGGACCCCTAAAGGGGTTCAGTGTGAGGAAGGCCTCAATGTGTGAGAAGATGTGCATGGACAAGAAAAATTAGGCAGTGTGAGGAAGGCCTCACAATGTGTGAGAATGTGTATGTGGACAGGAAACATTAGGACCCCCAAAGGGGTTCAGTGTGAGGAAGGCCTCAGTGTGTGAGAAGATGTGCATGGACAAGAAAAATTAGGCAGTGTGAGGAAGGCCTCAGTGTGTGAGAAGGTGTGTGTGGTCAGGAAACATTTGGACCCCAAAGGGGTTCAGTGTGAGGAAGGCCTCAGTGTGAGAACACCTCACTGTTAGTAGGCCTCAGTGTGTGAGAAGGTGTATGTGGACAGGAAACATCTGGACCCCAAACGGGTTCAGTGTGAGGAAGGCCTCAGTGTGAGAACACCTCACTGTTAGCAGGCCTAAGTGTGTGAGAAGGTGTGTGTGGACAGGAAACATTAGGACCCCTAAAGGGGTTCAGTGTGAGGAAGGCCTCAATGTGTGAGAAGATGTGCATGGACAAGAAAAATTAGGCAGTGTGAGGAAGGCCTCACAATGTGTGAGAATGTGTATGTGGACAGGAAACATTAGGACCCCCAAAGGGGTTCAGTGTGAGGAAGGCCTCAGTGTGTGAGAAGATGTGCATGGACAAGAAAAATTAGGCAGTGTGAGGAAGGCCTCAGTGTGTGAGAATGTGTATGTGGACAGGAAACATTAGGACCCCCAAAGGGGTTCAGTGTGAGGAAGGCCTCAGTGTGTGAGAAGATGTGCGTGGACAAGAAAAATTAGGCAGTGTGAGGAAGGCCTCAGTGTGTGAGAATGTATGTGGACAGGAAACAGTAGGACCCCCAAAGGGGTTCAGTGTGAGGAAGGCCTCAGTGTGTGAGAAGGTGTGTGTGGACAGGAAACAGTAGGACCCCCAAAGGGGTTCAGCGTGAGGAAGGCCTCAGTGTGAGAACATCTCACAGTGTGTGAGAAGGTGTGTGTGAATCCCGAAGGAGTTGGCTGTGTGTCAGGATGAGATGATGGACGGGAGAGGAAAAAGTGTACCCATGAGACACCGTATTGCCTACTCCTGATATAGAATCCCAGAGCTGGAAGGGACCCCCAAGGGCCATCCAGTCCAACCCCTTGTTTTGGACTCCAACTCCCACAATTCCTAACAGCCTCTAATTGTTGAATAGGCTCTAAGGCAGGCCTGGGCCAACTTGGGCCCTCCAGGTGTTTTGGACTCCAAATCCCACAATTCCTAACAGCCTACCGGCTGTTAGGAATTGTGGGAGTTGGAGTCCAAAACACCTGGAGGGCCCAAGTTGGCCCAGGCCTGCCTTAGTGCCTATTCTACAATTAGAGGCCTACTTCCCACATTCAGCCCTTACCAAAAGAGTTGTTTCCACTGAGACCTTCAGCACTGCTTCCTCTTCCTGAGAACACAGCAAGTTTTCCCTCAATTGCTCCCCACTTCCGTTTGGGGGGCTTCCAAATATTGCCCCCTATCCACGCTCTGGCCTTCCCCTTTAAGAGCGTGATGCTGAAACCTCAACTTCCGGTTGAGCACAGCGAGTCCGGCTCGCTTATCGTCCCTCCCAGCAACACACACCCGCTCCTAAGGTTCCGCCTAGCTAGAAGGAAATTGCAATGGGCTTTGCTTCCCCCTAGAGGTGGCACATAGAATAGCACAGTGGAGTCAACCTGGATATTTTCTTGATCTTCATCGCTATGATACTTCACCTTGTTGATGGGAAGCTTCCCACCGGAGTGGAAATCATCTATCGGACAGATGGCAAGCTGTTTAACCTCAGCAGACTGAAAGCCAAAACCAAGGTTACATCAACATCTGTTATAGAACTCCAGTATGCTGATGACAACGTCGTCTGTGTGCATTCAGAAGAAGATCTACAAGCCACTCTAAACACCTTCGCAAAAGCATACACGAATCTTGGCCTGTCATTGAACATTGAGAAACCCAAAGTGCGCCAAAACCAAGGTTACATCAACATCTGTTATAGAACTCCAGTATGTTGATGACAACGTCGTCTGTGCGCATTCAGAAGATCTACAAGCCACTCTAAACACCTTCGCAAAAGCATACACGAAGCTTGGCCTGTCATTGAACATCGAGAAAACCAAAGTGCGCCAAAACCAAGGTTACATCAACATCTGTTATAGAACTCCAGTATGCTGATGACAATGTCGTCTGTGCGCATTCAGAAGATCTACAAGCCACTCTAAACACCGTCGCAAAAGCATACACGAAGCTTGGCCTGTCATTGAACATCGAGAAAACCAAAGTGCACCAAAACCAAGGTTACATCAACATCTGTTATAGAACTCCAGTATGCTGATGACAATGTCGTCTGTGCGCATTCAGAAGAAGATCTACAAGCCACTCTAAACACCTTCGCAGAAGCATACACGAAGCTTGGCCTGTCATTGAACATCGAGAAAACCAAAGTGCTGTTCCAGCAGTCACCAGCCATCCCCTCCCCAATGCCAGAGATACAACTTAATGGTTTAACATTAGAAAATGTGGACCATTTCCGCTCCCTTGGCAGCCACCTCTCCACCAAAGTCAACATCGACGCCGAAATTCAACACCGCCTGAGCTCTGCGAGTGCAGCATTTTCCCGAATGAAGCAGAGAGTGTTTGAGGACGGGGACATCCGTAGGGAGACCAAGGTGCTTGTCTATAAAGCTATTGTCCTCCCAACCCTGCTATATGCCTGCGAAACGTGGACTGTCTACAGACGTCACATGCAACTCCTGGAACGATTCCATCAGCGCTGCCTCTGGAAAATCCTGCAAATATCTTGGGAAGACAGGCGGACAAATGTCAGCGTGCTGGAAGAAGCAAAGACCGCCAGCATTGAAGCGATGGTCCTCTGCCATCAACTCTGCTGGGCCGGCCACGTTGTCCGGATGCCCGACCACCGTCTCCCAAAGCAGTTGCTCTACTCCGAACTCAAGAACGGAAAACGGAATGTTGGTGGACAGGAAAAGAGATTTAAAGATGGGCTCAAAGCCAACCTTAAAACTCTGGCATAGACACTGAGAACTGGGAAGCCCTGGTCCTTGAGCGCTCCAGCTGGAGGTCAGCTGTGACCAGCAGTGCTGCAGAATTTGAGAGGCACGAGTGGAGGGTGAAAGAGAGAAATGTGCCAGGAGGAAGGCGCATCAAGACAACCCCGACTGGGACCGCCTTCCACCTGGAAACTGTGGGAGAAGATGCGGGCCAAGAATAGGGCTCCATAGCCACCTACAAACCCACAAAAATAGTCATCAAGGAAGACTATCTTACTTGTCCAACGAGGGATCGCCTAAGTGTAAGTGTGTTTCTTGATCCCAGGTTTTCTGCTTTAACCTGGATTATATGAGTCAGTCCGCACTGCCAGATAATCGGGGAAAAATTTTGAAGGCCTTCATGGTTGGAATTACTGGGTTGCTTGAGTTTTCCAGGCTGTCTGGCCATGTTCCAGAAGCATTTTCTCCTGACGTTTCGCCCACATCTATGGCAGGCATCCTCAGAGGTTGTAAGGTCTGTTGGAAACTAGGCAAGCGAGGTTTATATATCTGCGGAAAGTCCACAGAAAACAATGAGGACCAGCTAACACCTTCCAACAAAGGATTCTCCCCCCCCCCAGGAAGCAACCAGCCAGTCTTTGCAGTTGCAAGGCCATTCAATGCTAACCAAGGTGGCCAATGGCAACATTTGCGTATGCCTCAAAGGACAACAGGTTCTGTGTGTTGTTGAAGGCTTTCATGGCCGGAATCACATGGTTGCTGAGTTTTCCAGGCTGTCTGGCCATGTTCCATAAGCATTTTCTCCTGACGTTTCACCTGCATCTATGGCAGGCATCCTCAGAGGTTGCGAGGTATGCTGGAAACTAGTAAAGTGGGGTTTATATATCTGTAGAATGATGTCCAGGATGGGAGAAAGAACTCCTGTCTGCTTGAGGTAGGTGTGAATGTTGCAATTGGCCACCTTGATTAGCATTTAATGGCCTAGCAATTTTCATGGTCTTGCTACTTACTGCCTGGGGGAATCCTTTGTTAGGAGGTGATTATTGTTTCTTGTCTGGAAAGAACTCTTGTATGCTTGAGGCCGGTGTGAATGTTGCAATTGGCCACCTTGATTAGCATTTAATGGCCTAGCAATTTTCAAGTCCTTGCTTCTTACTGCCTGGGGGAATCCTTTGTTAGGAAGTGATGATTGTTTCTTGTCTGGAAAGAACTCTTGTATGCTTGAGGCCGGTGTGAATGTTGCAATTGGCCACCTTGATTGGCATTTAATGGCCTAGCAATTTTCATGGTCTTGCTACTTACTGCCTGGGGGAATCCTTTGTTAGGAGGTGATTATTGTTTCTTGTCTGGAAAGAACTCTTGTATGCTTGAGGCCGGTGTGAATGTTGCAATTGGCCACCTTGATTGGCATTTAATGGCCTAGCAATTTTCATGGTCTTGCTACTTACTGCCTGGGGGAATCCTTTGTTAGGAGGTGATTATTGTTTCTTGTCTGGAAAGAACTCTTGTCTGCTTGAGGTAGGTGTGAATGTTGCAATTGGCCACCTTGATTAGCATTTAATGGCCTAGCAATTTTCATGGTCTTGCTACTTACTGCCTGGGGGAATCCTTTGTTAGGAGGTGATTATTGTTTCTTGTCTGGAAAGAACTCTTGTATGCTTGAGGCCGGTGTGAATGTTGCAATTGGCCACCTTGATTGGCATTTAATGGCCTAGCAATTTTCATGGTCTTGCTACTTACTGCCTGGGGGAATCCTTTGTTAGGAGGTGATTATTGTTTCTTGTCTGGAAAGAACTCCTGTCTGCTTGAGGTAGGTGTGAATGTTGCAATTGGCCACCTTGATTAGCATTTAATGGCCTAGCAATTTTCATGGTCTTGCTACTTACTGCCTGGGGGAATCCTTTGTTAGGAGGTGATTATTGTTTCTTGTCTGGAAAGAACTCTTGTATGCTTGAGGCCGGTGTGAATGTTGCAATTGGCCACCTTGATTGGCATTTAATGGCCTAGCAATTTTCATGGTCTTGCTACTTACTGCCTGGGGGAATCCTTTGTTAGGAGGTGATTATTGTTTCTTGTCTGGAAAGAACTCTTGTATGCTTGAGGCCGGTGTGAATGTTGCAATTGGCCACCTTGATTGGCATTTAATGGCCTAGCAATTTTCATGGTCTTGCTACTTACTGCCTGGGGGAATCCTTTGTTAGGAGGTGATTATTGTTTCTTGTCTGGAAAGAACTCCTGTCTGCTTGAGGTAGGTGTGAATGTTGCAATTGGCCACCTTGATTAGCATTTAATGGCCTAGCAATTTTCATGGTCTTGCTACTTACTGCCTGGGGGAATCCTTTGTTAGGAGGTGATTATTGTTTCTTGTCTGGAAAGAACTCTTGTATGCTTGAGGCCGGTGTGAATGTTGCAATTGGCCACCTTGATTGGCATTTAATGGCCTAGCAATTTTCATGGTCTTGCTACTTACTGCCTGGGGGAATCCTTTGTTAGGAGGTGATTATTGTTTCTTGTCTGGAAAGAACTCTTGTATGCTTGAGGCCGGTGTGAATGTTGCAATTGGCCACCTTGATTGGCATTTAATGGCCTAGCAATTTTCATGGTCTTGCTACTTACTGCCTGGGGGAATCCTTTGTTAGGAGGTGATTATTGTTTCTTGTCTGGAAAGAACTCTTGTATGCTTGAGGCCGGTGTGAATGTTGCAATTGGCCACCTTGATTAGCATTTAATGGCCTAGCAATTTTCAAAGTCTTGCTTCTTGCTGCCTGGGGGAATCCTTTGTTAGGAAGTGATGATTGTTTCTTATCTGGAAAGAACTCTGGTCTGCTTGAGGCCGGTGTGAATGTTGCAATTGGCCACCTTGATTAGCATTTAATGGCCTAGCAATTTTCAAAGTCTTGCTTCTTACTGCCTGGGGGAATCCTTTGTTAGGAAGTGATGATTGTTACTTGTCTGGAAAGAACTCTTGTATGCTTGAGGCCGCTGTGAATGTTGCAATTCGCTACCTTGATTAGCATTTAATGGCCTAGCAATTTTCAAGGCCTTGCTTCTTACTGCCTGGGGGAATCCTTTGTTAGGAAGTGATGATTGTTTCTTGTCTGGAAAGAACTCTTGTATGCTTGAGGCCGGTGTGAATGTTGCAATTGGCTACCTTGATTAGCATTTAATGGCCTAGCAATTTTCAAGGCCTTGCTTCTTACTGGCTGGGGGAATCCTTTGTTGGGAGGTGATTATTGTTTTACCCAGTGGCGCAGTGGGTTAAACCCCTGTGCCGGCAGGACTGAAGACCAGTAGGTTGCAGGTTCGAATCCGGGGAGAGGCGGATGAGCTCCCTCTATCAGCTCCAGCTCCAGCTCCTCATGCGGGGATATGAGAGAAGCCTCCCACAAGGATGATAAAAACATCAAATCATCCGGGCATCCCCTGGGCAATGTCCTTGCAGATGGCAAATTTTCTCACACCAGAAGTGACTTGCAGTTTCTCAAGTTGCTCCTGACACGACCAAAAAAATGTTTCTTGTCCGGAAAGAACTCGTCTGCTTGAGGCCGGTGTAAATGCTGCAATTGGCCACCTTGATTAGAATTTAACAGCCAGACAAGAAACAATCAGGGCCAGCTAATCACCTCCCAACAAAGGATTCCCCCAGGCAGGGAGCAGCCATTGAATGCTAATCAAGGTGGCCAATTGCGACACTCACACCTGCCTCAAACAGACAAGACTTCTTTCTCCCATTCCACGGCTTCAATGCCTGGCTGCTCCCTACCTGACGGCATCCTTTGTTGGGATGGTAATTAAGCTGGCCAATGGCAACATTCACACTTGTCTCAAGCGGACAAGAGTTCTTTCTCCCTCCCTGGACATTCCACATTCCCTTTTGTCTTTCCTTCCTTATCTCTTCCCTCCCTCCCCTCCATTCTCTTCCATCCATCCTTCCCCTAACTTCTTTCCCTTTCCTTCCTCCTTCCCTCTCTCCATTCTCCTCCACTTCCTTCCTTCCTTCCTTCCCCTCTTTCCTTCTTCCTTATCTCCCCCCTTCCCTTCCATCCTTCCCTTTCCCATTCCTTCCTTCTTTCCCTTTTGTCTTTAGTTACTTCTTTCCTCCCTCCCATCCTTCCCTTTTCTTCCTCCTTCTTCTCATTCCTTCCTTCTTTCCCTTTTGTCTTTAGTTACTTCTTTCCTCCCTCCCCTCCCTTCCATCCTTCTTTCTCCCTTTATTCTTTCCTCCCTCGCCTCCCTTTCTCCCTGCCCTTTCGTCCTTCCTTCCCTCCCCCTTTTCTCCCTTCCTCCCTGTTTCTCCTTCCTTCCCTTTTGTTTTTCCTTCCTTCTCTCTTTGCTTCCTTCCTCCCTCCCTTCTCTTCCTCTTCCCATCCTTCTCTTCTCTTCCTTCCTTCCTTCCTTTTTCCTTTCTCCTGTGGGATGTTTAGCTAGGAGAAGAGAAGGACAAGAGGGAACAAGAGAACTATGTTTCAAGATTGCAAAGGGTGTCCCATTGAGGAGGAGAAGGAACCGACTTCCTGCTGCTCTAGAGACCAGGGCACAAGGGAGCCATGGGTTCAAATGGCAGGAAAAGAGATTCCACTGAAAAGATTAGGAAGAACTTCCCGGAGAGTGGCATAGGCTCCCTCCGAGTGTGGTGGAATCTTCTTCTCTGGAGGCTTTTCCGTAGAGGCTGTCTATCGGGAGTGCTTTGTTTGTGCCTTCTTGCATGGCAAGGGGATGGACAGGATGGCCCTTGGGGGTCTCTTCCAGCTCTATGACTCCCGTCCGTCATCTCATCCTGACCACAGCCAACCCCTTTGGGATTCACACTCACCTTCTCACACACTGAGGCCTACTAACAGTGAGATGTTCTCATATTGTGGCCTCTTACACTGAACCCCTTTGGGGTCCAAATTTTTCCTGTCTACGCACACCTTCTCACACACTGAGACTTACTAACAGTGAAGCTTTCTCATACTGTGGCCTCTCACACTGAACTCCCTTGGAGTCCAAATGTTTCCTGTCCACACACACCTTCTCACACACTGAGGCCTACCTCACATTGAGGCCTACAAACAGTGAGGCATTCTCATACTGTGGCCTCTCACACTGAACCCCCTTGGGAGTCCAAATGTTTCCCGTCCACACACACCTTCTCACACACTGAGGCCTACTAACAGTGAGGTGTCTCACACTGAATCCCTTTGGAGTCCAAATGTTTTCTGTCCACGCACACCTTCCCACACACTTGAGGCCTACCTCACACTGAGGCCTACTAACAGTGAGGCGTCTCACACTGAACCCTTTTGGGATCCAAATGTTTCTTGTCCACGCACACCTTCTCACATACTGAGGCCTACGAACAGTGAGGCATTCTCATACTGAGGCCTCTCACACTGAATCCCTTTGGGATCCAAATGTTTCCCATCCATGCACACCTTCTCGCACACTGAGGCCTACCTCACACTGAGGCCTTTTAACAGTGAAGCATTCTCATACTGTGGCCTCTCACACTGAACCCCTGTAAAGGGTCCAAAAGTTTCCCATCCATGCACATTCTCTCACACTGAAGCCTATCTCACAGTAAGGCCTACTAACAGTGAGGTGTTCTCATACTGAGGCCTCTCACACTGAATGCCTTTGGGGTCCAAATGTTTCCCGTCCACGCACACCTCACACATTCAGGTCTACCTCCCCGGGGCCTACTAAAGGTGCGGCGTTCTCATACTGTGGCCTGTCACACTGAACCCCTTTGGAGTCCAAATGTTTCCTGTCCACACACACCTTCTTGCACGGTGAGGCCTACTAACAGTGAGGCGTTCTCATACTGTGGCCTCTCACACTGAACCCCTTTATGGGTCCAAAAGTTTCCCATCCATGCACATTCTCTCACATTGAGGCCTACCTCACAGTGAGGCCTACTAACAGTGAGGTGTTCTCATACTGTGGGCTCTCACACTGAACTCTTTGGGGTCCAAATGTTTCCTGTCCACGCACACGTTCTTGCACACTGAGGCCTACCTCACAGTGAGGCCTACTAACAGTGAGGCGTTCTCATACTGAGGCCTCTCACACTGAATCCCTTTGGGATCCAAATGTTTACAGTTTTTTGCTAACTTTCTGCCTCCGAAAGAACAGAGGAAGTTAGAAAGCTTGCTCATGCCTGAGTTAAGCACATGATCTGAACGCTTTTCAATTAAAACAGGTTTTCCAAGCAGCTTGCAGACAAAGGCAGCATGTTTAAATACAAAATCAAATACTTTAATGAAACCAGGGAAGAGGAAAAAAAGCTCAGATATACCACTAAAACTGATATTCCTGCGCCGCATACGTTTTTCTCTCTCAATAGAAAAAAAAAGACTTCTCTTAAGCAAGCAAGGGATGGACAAACGAGGGGTTCGTGGGCATCTCTGTAAAGATCCTGAGTAAAGAAGTTTATCTAAACCACTTAAAACATTATATTATACCAAAAGCATCGCCAAGTCCTGAGCTGGTGGCCAGCACCAGGCATCCCATCCTTGTTTTAAAAATAGACCACTTCCAACACAAGGAATCTAAATACTTTTTCACATTTCCAGAGTCCTGTCGCCAAAAAAAAAAATGGGGGGCAAAAGAGAAGGATTGAACGTTTTCCATAGCCAGGTATACAAGTCTCCCCCAAATCGAAAGAAAACACGTCTGCGCTTTTTGGAAGTGTTAAGGCCTTCCCTTGTCCTTAAAACTGTTCCAATAACAAGAGAGAAATATATACACAAAAGGGCTGCCTAATATAGGCATTGATCCTAAAAAAAGAAAAAATTCACCATATGTTATACAATGCAATCACATCCATTGCAAAAGAGAGAGAGAGAAAAATACAAGGACCACTGTTAGCACCGAGCGATGAGTTTCAGAGACTCTTTGGGGCAAAAAGAATGGGGAGGCTATCTTGGAAAAGTCCCACAAGGCTATTCTCCCCACAGATCTGGACACAATCCGGCTCCCAAAGCACGTAAGAGCATCAATAGTCTGACATGACTGACAGACGATCCCAAGAGAGTGGCTCTCCCACATTGCAAGGACAGAGATTCCAAAAATCCCCCACACATCCGGTACGTTTCCGAGTTCCCGCGTAAGAGCCTAGATCGAAACAGGCGCCATGTCGGACCCTCCGCTTTGGCATTTTGTCCAATCCGCTTCACCTCCTGTGCCGACTGTGGCCAGGATGGTCCCTCTCGTAGCGATGGCTGGGCCGCTCGTAGGAGTGTGGCCGCTCGGGCCTCTGATCCCGGTAGTAGTGGCTCTTCTTCTTGTACTTCCCGGAGTGGTCCGAGCGTTCCTGCGAGCGGCTCCTGGACCGCGACGAGCTCCGGCTGCGGGACTTCCGCTGCTTCGGGGAGGCGTACTTGTACCCCTTGGCCTTCTTGTAGCTCCGCATCTTGGAGCCTTTGTAACTGGAAGCGCCGTGGTTGAACTGCCGCGGCGGGGAATCGCTGCGGCTCCTCGAGCGGCTGTGGGATTTGGAGCCGCTCGACGGAGAGTAGCTTTCGCTTTTCCTAAGGGAGAAGAGGAGAGAGAAAAAGTCAGTTTGCGACCTGTGTCCCCCTCAAGGGCAGCCCTAAAAATATGTACAAAACACCATAAGGTTTATGGACTGGAACAAAGTGCAATATGATCTGACATCTAAGTGCAATATGATCTGCGCCCGTACCTTGGGAAGTCTGACTTGGCCACGGTAGTCCACGCTCTGGTTACATCCCATTTAGACTACTGCAACGCTCTCTACGTGGGGTTGCCTTTGAAGACAGCTCGGAAGCTCCAACTAGTCCAACTCGGCAGCCATGATTTTAACAGGAGCGGAGCGCAGGGAGCATACAACCCCCCTGTTGCGCCAACTCCACTGGCTACCGATCTGCTACCGGGCTGAATTCAAAGTGCTGGCGTTGGCCTTTAAAGCCCTAAACGGGTCCGGCCCAAGCTACCTATCTGACCGCATCTCTGCCTATGAACCCACCAGGACCTTGAGATCTTCCGGGGAGACCCTGCTCTCGATCCCGCCTGCTTCTCAAGCTCGGCTGGCGGGGACGAGAGATAGGGCCTTCTCGGTGGTGGCTCCTCGGCTGTGGAACGCCCTTCCTACGGACATTAGACTAGCACCATCTCTAATGGTATTCCGCAAAAAGGTGAAGACCTGGATGTTTGTGCAGGCGTTTGAGTAATTTAGTGCAATCTGGTAATGGAACATAGGAATGGAACAATGGACGACGAACCTGGACTACGCTTGGATGATGAGAAGATTGGGTATGGTTGTTTTTTGTAATAATTGTGCATTGTAATTGCTTATTGGTAATTTATGGATAATGTGTTAAGTCAATTGTTATATGTTGTATGGAACCACTGCTGTTTCTACTGTTTTTACTGTTTGTGAACCGCTGTGAGTCGCCTTCGGGCTTGAGATACAGCGGTATAGAAGCAAAGTAAATAATAAATAAATAAATAAATAAAAATGCTCTGTGCATGAGTACCTTAAAAACAAAAGAACCAATGACCGAAATCACACGAAATTTGGCAACAAAATGTCTCACAGCACAAGGAGTGACCATCACTCAAAAACTTATGATTTTGTCATTTGGGAGTTATCGTTGCTGGGATTTATAGTTCACCTACAATCAAAGAGCATTCTGAACTCCACCAATGATGGAATTGAACCAAACTTGGCACACAGTTCTTCCATGACCAACAGAAAATACTGGAAGGGTTTGGTGGGCAGCGTCCTTTGGTTTTGGAGTTGTAGTTCACCTACATCCAGAGAGCACTGTGGACTCAAACAATGATGGATCTGGACCAAACAGCACAAATATTCCATATGCTCAAATATGAACAACACATATGGAATTTGGGGGGGGAAAGACCTTGAAATTTGGGAGTTGTAGTTGCTGGGATTTATAGTTCACCTACATTCACAGAGCATTCTGAACCCCACCAACGATGGAATTGAACCAAACTTGGCACACAGAACTCCCATGACCAACAGAAAATACTGGGAGGGTTTGGTGGGCAGTGTCTTTCGGTTTTGGAGTTGTAGTTCACCTACATCCAGAGATCACTATGGACTCAAACAATGATGGATCTGGACCAAACTCTACACCAAAAACTCCATATGCTCAAATGTGAACACCGGTAGAGTTTGGGGAAAATAGAATCTTGACATTTGGGAATTGTAGTTACTGGGGTTTATAGTTCACCTACAATCACAGAGCATTCTGAACCCCACCAATGATAGAATTGGGTCAAACCTCCCACACAGAACCCCCATGTGGGCCACACCAACGCGTGGCAGGGGACAGCTAGTGTCTTACTATAATCTAGCCCCTCGCATTCTAGCAACGCGTGGCAGGGGACGGCTAGTTATGCCATAAGATTTTGAATGTATATTATTAAATTGCTATTTTATGATGTTTGATACGTATTCTCGATGTATTTGGATTGTTATTTATATTAATAAATATTTATCCTTTAATGAAACCAGGGAAGAGGAAAATAAACCTCAGATATACCACTAAAACTGATATTTATATTAATAAATGTGATAATAGAATAAAATAAATGTAATAACAGTAATAGAGAAAAATAATAATGTAATAACAACATTGTCTATTTATTGTTATTATTACATTTATTACTTTTCTCTATTCATTATTGTTATTACATTTATTATTTTACTATATTATTATCACTGTATTGTCGAAGGCCTTCATGGCCGGAATCACTGGGTTGTTGTAGATTTTTTCGGGCAATATGACCTCACTACCTCTGAGGATGCTTGCCATAGATGACGGCGAAACGTCAGGAGAGAATGCCTCTAGAGCAGTGCTTCTCAACCTGGGGTCCCCAGATGTTTTTGGCCTTCAACTCCCAGAAATCCTAACAGCTGCTAAACTGGTTGGGATTTCTGGGAGTTGTAGGCCAAAAACATCTGGGGACCCCAGGTTGAGAAGCACTGCTCTAGAACATGTCCATATAGCCCGAAAAAAAACCTATAGCAACCTATTATTATCACATCACCGCTTTGAGTCGCCTGAGGGCTGAGAAAAGCGGTATATAAATAAAGTAAATAAATTAATTTACATTTTACTCTTATTATTATTACATTTATTATTTTTCTCTATTTATTATTGTTATTATTACATTTACATTATTTTACTCATATTATATTTATTATTTTTCTCTATTTATATATTTTATATCAAGTGTGTGTGCGTGTGTGTGTGTATATATATATATATATATATATGATATTAAATGTAATATTACTAATAATATTACAGTATAATGTTATAGTACAATGGAGCCCCCGGTGGCACAGTGGGTTAAACCCCTGTGCTGGCAGGACTGAAGATCGACAGGTCGCAGGTTCGAATCCGGGGAGAGGCGGATGAGCTCCCTCTATCAGCTCCAGCTCTTCATGCAGGGACATGAGAGAAGCCTCTCACGAGGATGATAAAAACATCAAATCATCCAGGCGTCCCCTGGGCAACGTCCTTGCAGACGGCCAATTCTCTCACACCAGAAGCAACTTGCTCCTGACACAAAATAGTACAATGTAATATATAATATTAAATTGTGCTATGGTAATAATATAATATATTGTATTTACTTTTTACTTGTAAGCTGCTCTGAGTCCTCTTTGGGGTGAGAAGGGCGGGATATAAATGTTGTAAATAAATAAATAAAATTAATATTTATTATTGTTCTTATTACATTTATTATTTTCACTATTTATTATTATGACATTATTTAACTCTCTTATTATTACATTTATCATTTTTCTCTATTAGTGTTATTATTACATTTATTATTTAACTCTCTTATTGTTATTACATTTACTATTTTACTCTATTATTATTATTGGAAGGATACATCAGCCCATCTCCATTGAAGAAGATCAGAATAATGGTTTAATCAGAGTTGACATACCTCTGTTTTGGAGAAGGTGATCTTGAGGCTGACCGGGAATAACTCTGGTCTCGGCTTCCACTCCGACTCCTGCTCTCTCGACCTTTCTGAATACTGTCACAAAGTTAAGAAACAGCTTTAGGGATCAACGGAGAAACAGAGGCCGCATTCATGAGAAAACACACTCAAAAATAATAAGAAAAAATGCTATGCAAGGCCCTTACCCGTTGATGGGACTATTTGATTTCACCCTCTTGGTCCCTTCCATTTTCCTCTTGGCATTTTTAACCGCCTGCACAGCAAGTGGGGAAGGCTTGGTACCTTTCATTTCCTTTGGAGATTCTAAAGAAGTAGGAAAGAAAAGATTGTTTTGATGAGCCATTAAGTGGAGTGAGACACAATTGAAACTGGGATGCTACTCCCGAATACATACCGGTTTTGGGGACAGGAGAAAATCCGGACACGCTGTCTAAGCCGGGTGTCCCATCAGGTAAGAGCCCTTTGGCGTGTGCTTTTGCCTCTTCGATGGCTAACTTCTTCTTCTCGACTCGGCCTTCCAGAACAGCCAAATCCACCTAGGAATCCAAAGAGATCGGTGGTTTCAGAAGGTCTGTACTATGTATACCAGTGTTTCTCAACTTGGGGGTCGGGACTCAAGAGGGGGGTTTCAGAGGGGTCGCCAGAGACCATCAGAAAAAAATATTTCTGATTATCTATATAAATAAAAATGTCATGTTTGTTTGTGGGATTAATATAACTCAAAAACCACTGGACAAACAGACACGAAATGTGGACACTATACCCCTAACAGACCAACGAGCGGCCATAACTTATATTAAAAAAACCCAAAACAGTGAAAAGGACTTAAAAACCCCAAAAAGCTAAATGATAATACAGAAAAAAAGGAAGGAAGAGGGAGGGAAAGGAGGGGAGAAAGAGAGAAAGAAAGAGAAAGGTAGAGAAATAAAGAAGCAAAGAGAGAAGGGAGGAAAGAGGTAGAGAAGGAAGAAAGGAGAAAAGGGGGAAGGAAAAGAAAAAAGGGGAAAGGAAGGAAAGAGGTGGAGAGGGAAGGAAAGAAAAAAGGGAAGGAAGGAAAGAGGGAACGAAGGAAGGAGGGAAAGAAGGAGAGAAAGAGGGAGAGAAGGAAAGAGAGAAGGAAGGATGGTAGCAAAATGCAAAGGAAGGAAGCAAAGAAGGAAAGAGGGAAATAGGTAGGGAAGGAAGAAATGAGAGAAAAAAGAAAATAAAAAAAGGGGGAAGGAAGGAAAGATAGAGAAGGAAGGAAGGAGAGAAAGAAAGAAAAAAGGGAAGGAAGGAAGGAAGGAAGGAAGGAAGGAAGGAAGGAAGGAAGGAAGGAAAGAGGGAGTGAAGGAAGGAGGGAAAGAAGGAGAGAAAGAGGGAGGGAAGGAAAGAGAAGAAGGATGGAAGCAAAAAAGAAGGAAGGAAGTAGGGAAGGAAGAAATTAGAGAAAAAAGAGCTAAAGAAAAGGGGGAAAGGAAGGAAAGGTAGAGAAGGAAGGAAAGAGAGAAGAAAAAAAGGAAGGAAGGAAGGAAGGAAGGAAGGAAGGAAGGAAAGAGGGAGGGACGGTTGGCCACAGCAATGCGTGGCGGGTACAGCTAGTCTATATAAATAAAAATGTAATGTTCGTTTGTGGGATTAACAGAACTCAAAAACCACTGGGCGAATTGACACCAAATTTGGACACAAGACACCTAACAACCCAATGTATGTCCTTCACTCAAAAAATGTGATTTTGTCATTTGGGAGTTGTAGTTGCTGGGATTTATAGTTCACCTACAATCAAAGAGCATTCTGAACCCCACCAACGATGGAATTGAACCAAACTTGGCACACAGTTCTCCCATGACCCAACAGAAAATACTGGAAGGGTTTGGTGGGCAGTGTCCTTTGGTTTTGGAGTTGTAGTTCACCTACATCCAGAGATCACTGTGGACTCAAACAATGATGGATCTGGACCAGACTCTACACAAATACTCAATATGCCCAAATGTGAACACTGGCGGAGTTTGGGGGAAAGAGAATCTTGAGATTCAGGAGTTGTAGTTTCTGGGATTTATAGTTCACCTACAATCACAGAGCATTCTGAACCCCACCAATGATAGAATTGGGCCAAACCTCCCACACAGAACCCCCATGTGGGCCACAACAAAGCGTGGCAGGGGACGGCTAGTGTCTTCTTATAATCTATCCCCTCGCATTCTAGTCCCCTTTTGGAAGGGCTCACAGAACAAACCTTTTTGCGTGTATACAGCTGTAGAATTTTAACGCAGATCTCCTGAATTTCTTCCTCCGTCGCTCCAAAAAGTAAAAACCAGTGGGGACGATTTGGAAGTGCAATCTGTAAATAATCGTGCCCAGTTTATCATCAATGGAAATATCGATTTCAATCCAATTTAATAACTTCTCAATGCCACAAGATACCCATCTATCAGCTTAATATATCCAACAAAAACAAATGAGGCCAATGCTCCATCTAGCCTAATATTATTGATTATTGATATAGTAGATTTCTATGCTGATCATGAATTTTCAGGCTTGCTCGTAAACAAAGATAATATTTAGTCTTCCCTGTGTATTCTGCACAAGCTAATGCCCCGTCATTTGTAAGACTAGACATCAGACTAATCTAGGTACAGGCAAACCCAGGCCCAGGGGTCGGATGTGGCCCCTTGGGCTCTTTTCTCAGACCCTCCTTAAGCTCACCACCTTATCCTTCCTTCCTTCTCTCTTTCCTTGATTTTCTTCCATTCCACCCTTTCATCCTTCCTTCCCTTTCTCCTTCCTTCCTTCCCTCTTTCTCCTTCCTTCCATTTTGTCTCATTCTTTCTTTTTCATTCATTTATCCGTCCTTATCTTCCTTTCATCCTTCCCTTCCACCCTTGCCTCCTTCTTTTCCTTTCCTTCCATCCTTCCCTCTTTCCTCCCTCTCCTTCTCTTCCACCCTTTCCTCCTTCTTTCCTTCCATCCTTCCCTACCACCCTTTCATTCTTCATTCCATTTTGCCTTTCCTTCCCTCTCCTTCCACTTCATTGGTCCTTCTCTCCTCTTTATCCTTCCTTCCTTCCGCTCCTCCCTCTCTCCCTTTCTCCTTCCATGCTTCCCTTCCTACATTATGTCCTTCCTTCCCTCTCCTTCCATTCTTCTCATCCTCCATTTCTTCTTTCATTCTTCCCTTCCCTCCTTCCCTTTTGTCTTTCCTCTCTCCTTCCACCCTTCCCTTCCACCCCTTTTGTCTTTCCTTCCTTCCCTCTTTCCCCTTTCATCCTTCCCTCTCCTTTTTTCCTTCCATCCTTCTCTTCCACCCTTTTATCCTTCCCTTTTGTCTTTCCTCCCTCCTTCCCTCTCTCCCTTTCTCCTTCCATCCTCCGCTTCCTCCCTGTTGTCCTTCCTTCCCTTTTCTTTCTCCCTTCCTTCTTTCTTCCCTCCTTCCCTCTCCTCTTTCTCCTTCCATCCTTCCCTTCTACCTTTTCATCTTTCCTTCCTTCCCTTTTGTCTTTCCTTCCTCCTTCCCTCTCTCCCTTTCTCCTTCCATCCATCCTTCCTTTCCTCCCTTTTGTCCTTCCTTCCTCCTTTCCTTCCTTCTCTTTTTTCTCTTTCCTTCCTTCTCCTTCTTCCATCCTTCTCTCTTTTATTCCTCCCTCCTTCCTTCTCCCTTCCCTTCCTCCCCTTTTCTCCATCCATCCTTCCCTTCCTCCCTCCCATCACTGGGCAGCCATTCCTCCTAGCAGGGTGTGCTAGCATGTGGCCCCCAAGCTAGAAAGTTTGCCCATGCCTGGGCTAACCCTTCCCTGGCTGGGTCCCTTGGATCCCACCCTACAGAATCAGGAACACTAGGAAACAAGAGCAGAAGACCTACAAACCTCGAGCGTCCTAGCGGCAAGGTAAATGCAGGCGCAAGCGATACTCTCTGGGTGGAATCGTACAAAGACATCGGTCCGCAGGCTGTCGTTCATGTAATTCCTGAGGAGACACAGAAGACGGGAAAATTGCAGAGCCCTACCACATCCTTCCTTGGGCTAACACTTTTTGGAAAAGGCTACTGGGAGCTAGCTCTCTAGGCATTCTACAGCTAGGTTTGAATGCTAGAAAACTCTGTGAAAGCTGACAAGATGTTACAATGGACAACTCCCTCCCGGAGAAGGGCGTCCGTCGGAAAATAATGAACTAGGATGCTGGCGTGTTAGGAAAGAGAACCAATTTTAACTTCACTTTTCTGTTGCTATCTCCTACTGGCCTATTCTCATTCAGAGCACCACTTTGTATTTTGATTTGGGGTACAACGTGAAGAATTGTCATCAAGAGCTAGGCTTAAACCCTTGCATGCAAATTCAAAACAAAACAGACAGTCTGAAGAGGGAGATCCAGCCAACGTGAGGATGTCTTCCTTCCAAAACATTAACTTCTTCTTCTCTTGCAGTCTTCCTTTGGAGAGAAACGTGTCCACTCAGGAAAAGCACAGCGCACGTCGGTTTCTTTCAGACCGCAAAACACAGCAGTTCAGTCTTGGCATTCAGCGCAATGGCTGCCAGGGGACGATGCTCGAGTAGTGTTCCTCAATGGATTGTCCCTGGGCCGCCTCCAGACCGCCCACACTGCAACAAGGTGGCTCAAAATAAATGTTCATAGAATGAGGCAGACTGTAAAAACATTGCACACGACCCACAGTCAGTACATTTTGACACATTGCACTTATGCAATTTCAAAAAATAAATAAGGTCACACATTCTTTTCTTTTTTTTAACAATTGTAATTACCATTTAAAACAAAAACACAAAATAGAATCTGGTAATAAAGTTTTGTACTGTATTGTATTGTACTATAAACAAAATTTCAAATTTTCATGGTTGGAATCACTGGGTCGCTGTGAGTTTTCTGGGCTGTCTGGCCATGTTCCAGAAGCATTCTCTCCTGACGTTTCACTCACATCTCTGCCCGGCATTCTCAGAGGTGGCGTAGTGGGCTAAACCCTTGTGCTACCAGAACCGACAGGTCGGAGGCTCGAATCCAGGGACAGCATGGGTGAGCTCCCTCTGTCAGCTCCAGCTCTCCGTGTGGGGTCACAAGAGAAGCCTCCCACAAAGATGGTAAAATATCAAAATATGATATTTTATATTTTGATATAAATATCAAATATGTTGAAATATCAAAATATTTTGATATTTTTGATCAAAATATCCTTGCAATGTCCTTGCAGATGGCCAATTCTCTCACACCAGAAGCAATTTGCAGTTTCTCAAGTCGCTCCTGACACACACACCAAAAAATCCTCAGAGGTTGTGAGGAATTTCCTTGCCTTTTGGGTGTTGCTATTCATTTAAATAAGCAAAGAGCAACACCCAAATAAAGGGTAACACTCAAAAAACACAGGAAATTCCAGGCATGAATCAATCAAGGCTAGCTAATACCCACCAACAAAGGATTCCCCCAGGCAGGAACCAGCCAGGCATTGAAGCTGCAAGACCATGAAATGCTTATTTATTGCTCTTTGTTTAAATAAAGAGCAACACCCAGAAAAGGGGGAAGTCCAGACAAGAATAAATCAGGGATAGCTAACACCCGCCAACAAAGGATTCCCCCAGGCAGAAACCAGCCAGGCATTAAAGCTGCAAGGCCATTAAATGCTTATTTAATGCTCTTTATTTAAATAAAGAGCAACACCAAAAAACAGGGGAAGTCCAGACTAAAATCAATCAGGAACTGCTAACACCTGCAAACAAAGGATTCCCCCAGGCACTGAAGCTGCAAGGCCATCAAATGATAATCAAGGTAGCCATTTACAGCATTCACACCTACTTCCAGCAGATGAGTTCTTTCTCCCACCCTGGACATTCCACTTGCCTAGTTTCCAACAGATCTCACAACCTCTGAGGATGCCTGCCATAGATGTGGGTGAAACGTCAGAAGAGAATGCTTCTGGAACATGGCTAGACAACCCAGAAAACTCATAGCATCCCATTTCCAGTATTGTTTTCAAGACAGATCAATAAGCAAGTTTCCTACAGAGGAGAGGGATTGGGAAAGATGTCCTCTCTCTTTCAAATGGATCCAAACTGTTGGTGATGGTGTCAACCAATCTCTGCTGGAATGCTAAATAACAGGCTGGCTTTCAGAAATGGGCCCAATTTCAGAGATGTACAAGTAAACAATCCAAATGAATCCAAATGGCAGTAGCCATGCAGATCTAATGGCATCCTTCCTTTGGGGTTAAGCCACTGCCAATGGAGGATACACAAATGCCAGCAACCACCACGGAAGGAACCAAAGGGCTTAATACCCCCTGTGAGATCTTAAGTTTCCATTTTTACTCATTACATAGCAGAATCAGAACATAAACAAACTAGTTTTCAGAGTCCCACAAAATTCAAACTTATTCGTTATTAATGAACAAATATTGATAAAATCCCACTGGGCACAAAGAAGTAACTGTGGCTAGGATTCAACTTTTCAGCCTCAGTAAGAGACATGATGTAGGTGTATAATGTGGGGACTACAACAGCGGAACACATATCTTTATTGCAATGGCTCCCAACCTTTTTTTGACCAGGGACCACTCTACAGCAATAGTATCAAAATGGTTATGAATCGGTTTTTGGTCAACTTTAGATTTGGGGTGCTGAGTCAGAAAATGGCATTGGATAGACCACATCAGCTGATTCCAAAAATTGTATCGGATAGACCACATCAGCTGAGTCAGAAAATGACATTGGACAGACCACACCAGCTGAGTCAGAAAATTGCATTGGATAGACTACATCAGCTCTAGTTTCCGATACAGAACATATGCCATCCAGTAGCATCTGATTGCCCACAGAAAACCATATTTAATAAGCCTCGGCACTATACAAGGATTTTGTGAGACCAGTAGGTCTTGTTGCAATGGTGTAGTAACGGTGAGGGCATGGACCATATTTGAGTCCTTGCGGGCCACAGGTTGGGAGCCACTGCTTTATTGCAAAAATCAGGTTTTATACTTCTTAAAATACAGGTATTACAAATAACACATTTAGATAGACTTCAACTCCCTCCCCCTTCAAGCCCAGCACTATTTTAAAGCCATATTTATTACATATTTGCACTGAAAAGATGTAAACATCCTGGCAGTAAAACGGTAGCACTTGCAACTGTAAAACTGTGCAAATAAAACATCAACAGGTTGGAAAAAGACAGGACAAGCAGAAGTTGGCCAGTTGTTAACTCTACTAGTGTTGGCATACCACCTGTCTAGAGTCAGCCTTCTCTCTGTGGAGCCTGCTTGGGTTTGACTGAAGACACCATAGCGCTTGGGCAGCAGAGGAGAAGTCTTAGTCACTTACCCTCAGAGGCTACCCTTTGATCAAAAGAGTACAGAAAAGAAGAGTCAAAAGAGGTTCTCCTCCAAAAGAGCACCAGACACAGTTCACACATTGCTTCTAGAGCCATTTTACATCATGTCAGTTTCACAGGTCCCCCAACATTGCCTCAAAAACAAATAATATGATCCACAAAACAAAAGAACAGTCAAAAAAAGAAAGCACGGCATTGTAATATTGAGGATGAGCAGCAGAAAACTTGCTTGAATTGTTTGGAAAGGACTGTTTCTTGACCAGTTCTCAAGTCCAATGATGGCATGACCAAAGAAAGCACTCTTTCATTCATAACAACATATTAAGGCAGTGTTTCTCAACCTGGGGGTCTCGAGAGGGTGTCAGAGGGGTCGCCAATGACCATCGGAAAACACAGGGGAGAGCGTGCGTGGCTGGAGCTGTTGTTCATTCGTTCAGTCGTCTCCGACTCTTCGTGACCTCATGGACCTGCCCACGGAGGGAGTCTCCCAAATGTCAAGATCTATTTTCCCCAAACTCCACCAGTGTTCACATTTGGACATGTTGAGCAGGGAGGGGAGAGCAGGTGTGCTTGGCGCATGGCAGCGTGGTGCACATGTGGGGGAGGGGGAGAGCGTGCGTGGCTGGAAGGAGTCCCCAAATTGTCAAGATCTATTTTCCCCAAACTACACCCGTGCTCACATTTGGGTATATTGAGTAGGGAGGGGAGAGCAGGTGTGCTTGATGCATGGCAGCATGGTGCACATGTGGGAGGGGAGCGCGTGCGTGGCTGGAAGGAGTCCCCCAAATGTCAAGATCTATTTCCCCCAAACTCCACCAATGTTCACATTTGGGCATATTGAGCGGGGAGGGGAGAGCAGGTGTGCTTGGCACATGGCAGTGTGGTGTACATGTGTGGGAGGGGGAGAGCGTGCGTGGCTGGAGGGAGTCTCCCTTACGTCAAGGTCTATTTCCCTCAAACTCCACCAGTGTTCACATTTAAGCATATTGAATATTTGTGACAAGTTTGGTCCCGATCTAGCATTGTTTGAGTCCACAGTGTTCTCTGGAGGTAGGTGAACTACAATTCCCAAACTCAAGGTCAAGCCCACCAAACCCTTCCAGTATTTTCTGTCAGTCATGGAAGTTCTGTGTGCCAAGCTTGGTGTGATTCCATCATTGGTGGAGTTCAGAATGCTCTTTGATTGTAGGTGAACTATAAATCCCAGCAACTACAACTCCCAAATGTCAAGTTTATATTTCCCTCAAACCCCACCAGTGTTCACATTTGGGCATATTGAGTATCTGTGCCTAGTCCAAACTTATCATTGTTGGAGTCCACAATGTTCTCTGGATCTAGGTGAACTACAACTCCAAAACTCAAGGCCAATGCCCACCAAACCCTTCCAGTATTTTCTGTCAGTCATGGGTGTTCTGTGTGCCAAGATTGGTTCAATTTCATCATTGGTGTTCAGAATATTCTTTGATTGTAGGTGAATTATAAATCCCAGCAACTACAACTCCCAAATGACAAAATCAATTCCCCTCGACCCCACCAGTATTCAAATTTGGGTGTATCGGGTATTTGTGCCAAATTTGGCCCAGTTATGGAGGTACAATCTGCATATCAGATATTTACATTAGAATTCATAACAGTAGCAAAATTACAGTTATGAAGTAGCAATGAAAATAATGTTATGGTTGGGGAGTCATCACAACATGAGGAACTGTATTAAGGGGCCGCAGAATTAGGAAGGTTGAGAAACACTGCATTAAGGTGTAATGAAGTAGAACCAACGGGAAGAGAGAGCCGCTACTGAGCAGCTAAAGGGCCACCAACTCTCGCTGCAGGAAATACAGCCCTAGCCTCAACAGGCCTTTGGTTGATTCAGCAAGGCCACCATCTTTTCACTCACTCTCATATAAGGATATTTTCATTTCAGCACAATTGGAAGGGCTGAGAATAGAGAAAGAAAATGCACTGGGGAACATCCAAGCTCTCTTACCATTAGGGCACTTTTTCAACCTCAAACAAAGAGGCCCCGCCAACTTCAAGGGGAAGGTTAACACTGGAACGCCACAAACCGGGCAGCCAAGCAAACACAGACCCAACTGCCCCCAAACAATGACATTTCTTTCTGCCACTGCCCTGCCGGCCCCCCAAGAGAAACAAGAAACGTCAACTTACCATGAGGTCTGGACCAGGTGTTGGTTACGTTCACATTCTAATACCTGAAGGTACATAACGATAATCTGGAAGATATGGGTGATTGAGTTATACGGGTGACCATGTTGCAAGAGAACCGTTTTAAGTTAGAGTGTTATCGATCTGACCTGAATCGACAACTCCACGGTGTTTACAGACTGCAAAAAGCACGCCTTAGAAGGATGTGAAATTCAAAAGATTGAAACTTTTTTTTCCTTTTGCATGCAGATCAATATCATTAATGTATGGCTTTCTAAGCATCTCCTTATGCCTTCCTCCTTCAGTCCCTACCTCAAAGACAGAAGTGGTTTACGTCAGAAATATTAAAAATGCAGTCATGCCAGCCACATGACCTTGGAGGTGTCTATGGACAACGCCGGCTCCTCAGCTTAGAAATCAAGATGAGCACGAACCCCCAGAGTCAGACACTGAAAGGGTTAAATGGGTGCAATGGCTCAGCAAAAGCTGTAATTCTATACAAGCAGGTGTTCCTGTTGTTAGCAGAGGTCCCTGAGAGAAGGGCCTTAGTATGAAGGCCTCAATGTTATTTTGCCAGTCTGAGAGAGCCCTCAGTGTGAGAAAGGCCTCAGTGTGAAGTACCATGTTTCTCTGAAAAGAATTATTATTATTATTTTAAACTTTTATATCCCAATCTTCTCTACCTCCGTAGAGGGACTCAGACCGGCGAAAGCTGTAATTCTACAGCTTTTACAGGTGTTCCTGTAGCTTAGTAGCCCTCCGTTGTTAGTAGAGGTCTCTGAGAGAAGGGCCTCAGTCTGATCTTCGCTACCTCCGTAGAGGGACTCCGACCGGCTAACAGCAAGGATTCAATACTCATAATAAAGTCTAAAACAACATATAGCAAACAACAGATTAAAATACATACAGGATAAAATACATATAAGCCAAATCACCAGGATAAAATCATGTCCAACTTAGTCCGCATATGTGGTCAATAACTTAAGTCTATTGCAGGTATTACTCTGGATTTCACTAGTTTTCTGAAGGTCAGGAGGGAGGGGGCAGATCTGATCTCAATCAGGAGAGTTCCATAGCTGAGGGGCCACCACAGAGAAGGCCCTGTCTCTCGTTCCCACCAGACGCAATTGCGAATGTGGCAGGACTGACGATCTTAACATCCTTGATGGTTCATAAGGGAGAATACGTTCGGACATGTAAACTGGGCCAGAACCGTATAGAGTTTTGTAGGTTAACACCAGCACTTTGAATTGTGCTCAGAAGCTAATTGGCAGCCAGTGGATGTACCCCCACGCTCCCGTTAATAGCCTGGCTGCTGAGCATTGGAGTAATCGCAGCTTCCGTCTTATAGCTATTTTTCCTCAAGAAGACACAGTATGGATTGTTTTCAGGGAAACATGGTAGCTCTAACACCTTTCTCACACTGGGGCCTTCTCCCACTGAGGGCTCTCTCAGACTGAGGCCTTTCTCCCACTGAGGTGAAATAACATTGAAGCCTTCTCACACTGAGGCCCTTCTCTCAGAGACTTCTGCTAACACTGAGGGCTCCCTCAGACTAACTAACACTTCTGCCTTGTGTGTGCTTTTGAGGTCAAAGGAACCAGAAAGGTAAAGCAAACAGAGCAAGAAATGAGAAACGAAGGAAATTGCTATTAGCTGAACTATGAACTAACAATAGCTTTGCAGGTTTACTGTCATTGTGTATGGTGCTCACTGTAGGATCAAATCCAGACTCTCATCACACACTACCCAACAGTTACACACAATGGTGTTACCTGCATGCACAAGAATAAGCTCCTTTCATGCTAAGGACTTGGAGCGGGGAATCCAAGTACAGCTAAGTATAATGAGCACTTAAAATCTGAAGCCACCAGTCTTCACTCATCACAGGACCAACTAGTAGGCATTTCTTGAAATTAGAAACAAAGACAGCAAATGCTATAACTACAGCTCGACTACATTGCACCAAAGACTCCTCCTCTCTCATCTATTCCTTCCAACAGCAACACAAAACATGCATCGTTGCAAAGTGAAAAAGACAAACCTTGTGAGGATGTTTCACGTGTACACAAAATCCCAATTCCTTAAGAACTCTCCTCTCAGCCTTTATAATTTGGTTCTTCAAGTTAACATATTCCTGATCCAGTATTAGTGGTACAGGCTTCCTGTAGAAGGAAACAAGAAAAGGGAGTGTTTGGATCTAACGCCTGAAGACTAAAACAGCAGTGGACATATCCCATAGCATTGTTCTCCTTATCAAGTTTAGCAAAGGAAAGGCTTCTGAAATAATAATACTAATATTGTGCTGTGAAATAATACTTATAATAAATAATAGAAAGATTACCAATATTTTCTTGTGCTAATAATATAATATATTGTGTGTGTGTGTGTGTGTATATATATATATATATAGATATATATATATAGATATAGATAATATAAGGTAATACAATATAATACTAGTAATGAGATAATTATTGCGTATTATGTATTACATGTAATATTACTAATATTGTAGTATAGTGGTGTAGTACAATACAGTGATATATAATACTAATATTGTGTAATGCCAATAATTATAATGCATTGTATATACATATATTGAGCATAATATTATAATACAATATAATAATAATACAATTATAATAACATAATTACATATTGATCACAATACTGTAATACAATATAATACTACAATATAATACTTATATGTTTTATATTACATGTAAAATTACTAATAATATTGCAGTATAGTGGTATAGTAAAATATAATAATATATACTAATATTGTGTAATGCCAATAATTATAATATATTGTATA